AGAGATGCTGGGATACCCTTCAACACCTGCTGCCCGGAGCACAGCACTGGATCAAACTCATTTATTACACACACACACATGCGCGCACACGCACACATCCATTAGTCTTTGTTTGGTTAAAAAACAGAATAGTGTTTTGAAAACTGACTAAGTTTAGCCTATTCCTATCAGTATACACCATCACTAATGTATTCATTCTGATGCACTTTAGGTGGGTGGGTGGGGGGGTTAAGATGATGGGTATCGCGCGGGTGGGTTTGTCACGGAGGCAATTGGCGTGACGCGTGTCACCAGTGGGCTGTGGGAAAACACGTTCCGGTCGGCTGGTGACAGCAGTGTGTGTCCTGTCACATTAACACATGCCACAGAGGAAGCCAGCCCAGGTCATTACAGTGAGACGGCTCATCTTTCCTTTCAACAGAGCATACCGTCGTCCAGTCAAGACAGCAGTGTTGAACCGTAAAGGGGGAATTTAAAGATATTTATGCTGACTGATTAACAAATGAATGACTTTAGCTTATTCAAGTTGAAAGACTAAAAGAAACATCCTTTAAAATCAAACAACTGATTGAGGTCTTTATTGTTCTGGGGTTTGTGGTGTCTGTCTGGTCTAGGTTTCGTTTTTGGGAGTCTTGCACTGGTCTAGGTTTTAGTATTTGGGAGTCTGGCACTGGTCTAGGTTTTAGTATTTGGGAGTCTGGCACTGGTCTAGGTTTTAGTATTTGGGAGTCTGGCACTGGTCTAGGTTTTAGTTTTTGAGAGTCTGGCACTGGTCTAGTTTTTGGGAGTCTGTGGCACTAGTCTAGGTTTTAGTATTTGGGAGTCTGGCACTGGTCTAGTTTTTAGTTTTTGGGAGTCTGGCACTGGTCTAGGTTTTAGTATTTGGGAGTCTGGCACTGGTCTAGTTTTTAGTTTTTGGGAGTCTGGCACTGGTCTAGGTTTTAGTATTTGGGAGTCTGGCACTGGTCTAGGTTTTAGTATTTGGGAGTCTGGCACTGGTCTAGGTTTTAGTATTTGGGAGTCTGGCACTGGTCTAGTTTTTAGTTTTTGGGAGTCTGGCACTGGTCTAGTTTTTGGGAGTCTGGCACTGGTCTAGGTTTTAGTATTTGGGAGTCTGGCACTGGTCTAGTATTTGGGAGTCTGGCACTGGTCTAGGTTTTAGTATTTGGGAGTCTGGCACTGGTTTAGGTTTTAGTATTTGGGAGTCTGGCACTGGTCTAGGTTTTAGTATTTGGGAGTCTGTGGCACTGGTCTAGTTTTTGGGAGTCTGTGGCACTGGTCTAGGTTTTAGTATTTGGGAGTCTGTGGCACTGGTCTAGGTTTTAGTATTTGGGAGTCTGTGGCACTGGTCTAGTTTTTGGGAGTCTGTGGCACTGGTCTAGGTTTTAGTATTTGGGAGTCTGGCACTGGTCTAGTTTTTAGTTTTTGGGAGTCTGGCACTGGTCTAGGTTTCGTTTTTGGGAGTCTTGCACTGGTCTAGGTTTTAGTATTTGGGAGTCTGGCACTGGTCTAGGTTTTAGTATTTGGGAGTCTGGCACTGGTCTAGTTTTTAGTTTTTGGGAGTCTGGCACTGGTCTAGTTTTTGGGAGTCTGGCACTGGTCTAGGTTTTAGTATTTGGGAGTCTGGCACTGGTCTAGGTTTTAGTATTTGGGAGTCTGGCACTGGTTTAGGTTTTAGTATTTGGGAGTCTGGCACTGGTCTAGGTTTTAGTATTTGGGAGTCTGTGGCACTGGTCTAGTTTTTGGGAGTCTGTGGCACTGGTCTAGGTTTTAGTATTTGGGAGTCTGTGGCACTGGTCTAGGTTTTAGTATTTGGGAGTCTGGCACTGGTCTAGGTTTTAGTATTTGGGAGTCTGGCACTGGTCTAGGTTTTAGTATTTGGGAGTCTGGCACTGGTCTAGGTTTTAGTATTTGGGAGTCTGGCACTGGTCTAGTTTTAGTATTTGGGAGTCTGGCACTGGTCTAGGTTTTAGTATTTGGGAGTCTGGCACTGGTCTAGGTTTTAGTATTTGGGAGTCTGGCACTGGTCTAGGTTTTAGTTTTTGAGAGTCTGGCACTGGTCTAGTTTTTGGGAGTCTGTGGCACTAGTCTAGGTTTTAGTATTTGGGAGTCTGGCACTGGTCTAGTTTTTAGTTTTTGGGAGTCTGGCACTGGTCTAGGTTTTAGTATTTGGGAGTCTGGCACTGGTCTAGTTTTTTAGTTTTGGGAGTCTGGCACTGGTCTAGGTTTTAGTATTTGGGAGTCTGGCACTGGTCTAGGTTTTAGTATTTGGGAGTCTGGCACTGGTCTAGGTTTTAGTATTTGGGAGTCTGGCACTGGTCTAGGTTTTAGTTTTTGGGAGTCTGGCACTGGTCTAGTTTTTGGGAGTCTGTGGCACTAGTCTAGGTTTTAGTATTTGGGAGTCTGGCACTGGTCTAGGTTTTAGTTTTTGGGAGTCTGGCACTGGTCTAGGTTTTAGTATTTGGGAGTCTGGCACTGGTCTAGGTTTTAGTTTTTGGGAGTCTGGTACTGGTCTAGTTTCAGAAGGCCTGGGTTTTTGAAGGTTTGGTATGGTCTAGATTTCGAGTGGTCTGGTATTGGCCTTGGTCTTTAATTCTGTTCTATACTCTTATGTCTAATAACAAATAAAAGACCAGCACTCTCAGCAGTCTGTCGTAGGGCTGTTAAGTGATATTGATTAGAGATTTGTTTCCATCTAATTGCTGGTGGTAATCTGTCCTCTGTGTGTCATGCACCTAAATCAGATCCGACCATGGCGTAATGAGTCAAATCCATCGACTCTGGCTACACAAGGTTTACACACTAATGCTTGACGGATTTTTTTTATATAAAGTATATTTTGAGGATGTACGTTGCAGGAAGCATGGAGCATCGCTTTCACAAGCCCTTGTGTACAAACCCCTACACATTGGTATACTTTTTTTTTAAATGTATTTTTTTATGGAAATAATATTTTAAGTAATGTACTGAAAAGCATTTAAGTATACGTTAATGTAATTTCTATTAAACGCATGTCATTTATTTAACTATTTTTGTATTTGCGCATTTGGAATGTTGCCATTTGGAATATTTGAAATATATTAACGTTAAAGGTAACATCGTTTAATACACTACAGAACTACAAGTACTTTTTATTTGCTTAAAAATGTTAGTCAACGCATCCACATAATTGCACTTTGAAGCATGACAGAAGATTATTAAAACAATGATTTAAAATACACTTTAAAATAAAACTAAAAAAATATAATACTAAGTGCACTTTTTTAAAAGTATACTGAGAATCAATCATGAAAGTGTCCTCTCCTTAAGGACACTTAAGCGGCCTTATGTTTGATCAATATTATATACATTTATAAATAGTCAAGTTAAGTCACCTTAATTTATATAGCACTTTTGACAAAATTGTTTCAAACCAGCTTTAGTAAAAATATGAAATCAAAGTAACTGCTTAAATATAGTTTTAAGATTTGAAATGCACTGCAAATGCACACTTATTTTTGACAAGGGCTGTGATAGATCAACCTCACAGAAATCAATGCGGTAAATTGGCTTGAACTCCAGGCGCTGAAGAACTTTAACAACACATCATAAAAAGGTGAGATCCACTGAACTTTATCAAGCTGATGTTTGTAAAAGAGAAACTCAGTTGCAGAAAAGTCTGTCAAATCAACGAGAGACACAACAAATCAATGCCCAGGATGATTTTAATGACTATATCATGCAAAAATAATCATCATACTCTATAAAGAACATCAACTCTTATCTTTTCAAAACCAGAAAAATGCCTTTAAATTTTGGTCCACCGATCACAAAAATCAAAGGAAAGACATCATAATGTCTTCATCTGAATGATTGTATATAAAAATCACACTTAGTGAGCAGTTCATACAGTTTAACACTTTTTGACATCAACAAATCGCTCTGTTTGACACAACAACAAAATATAACAATCACTTGTGCACTTCAGTCTCAGGCAAGAGGCCATGGAAATTGTGTTATCACACAATACACAAATCTAGAAAACATTTAGCTGAGTTTCAGAACAACTTAAAGCATGGCTCAGATTCCAACCTCTGAAAATGTCCCCGTATCTTCTGATCAGAACAAACATAAGCTGGTTCTGACGTTTCGAGAAGACTTTCGCAATCATTCCAATGACTCTGTAAACTAGACACAATCCAGATTTGTAGATGGCGAATATTACAAGATTGCTGATGTTATTGGTAAATTATTGCAGTACATGTTCTTAATAGTTGTGTTTGTTGATTTATTTAGTATTATTTTTTGATCAAGGAACAGCGTAAGACTTTAATGACACATTACTACATTACATGTGTAATAATGACACGTTACTGCTGGTTAACAACACACTGGTTTGTGTCATGCATGGAGCATCAGAGTGAATCTTACAAAACATGTGCAAGCTATAGACCATTTCACAAGATGTAAACAACACTGGTCCAGAAGCACTTCCTGTTTTAACAAAAAACATAAAAGCTGGGATAAAATACAACCAACAGAACATTTAAAACTGAATCAAAAAGTTAAACAAACATCTTTAAGATGTGAAATAAAGAAACCAGTTACAAACTGAAACAGGAAGTGTTTCTGGACCAGTGTTGTTTACATCTTGTGTCATTTGCCAAAGAAAATAAAGCCTTTTAATTATTACATTGGCATGATTTTCATGAAAATAAGCACCACCCAGGTTACTTATTTCTATAACAAAAAAATATTAATAATAAGACTATACTATTTCATTTAAAAGTATTATAATGTTTTATTTTTGAATCATTTGGGGGGAAATGTGCTTAATTGGCATAATTGTTAAAAAACAGGTCCTACAAACTTACTTGATTTTCTTAATGCAAAATATGTCTTTTTTAAAGGATTACTTCTAAAAATGATAACTAAAATTCTTCTAACCCTCGTGTCGCTCCAAACTCGTAAGATTTTGTTCATCTTCAGAACACCATTGAAGATCTTTTTGATGAAATCTGAGACGTTTCTGTCCCTCCATTGACAGCTCTGCAACTACCACTTTAATGCATAAAAACGTTCGTAAAAAGATCGTTAAACTAATCCGTTTGAGTTAAGTGGTTCAGTCCAAATATCCTCGATCGCTTTATATGATGAACACATTGAATTTAGGCTTTTAATCACATATAATCATCAACTCATACATCAGTTAAGTTAAAAAGAAGCTCAAACATGATTGCTTGACATGCAAGAACCAATGATGGTGTTTACCAATGAGGTTTGTTCTCTCGTGTCGAGTATATTCGTAGATGATTCACTGATGTGATGTGAACAAAAGACTAAATTAAACCTG